TGAGGGGAGCCAATGCCCTCTTCTGGCCTTCAGAGGCATCAGTGAAGCACATGGTATATTTACATACATAAAGGCAAAACACTTATACACATAAAGTAAAAATAATTTAAAACTTTTTTGTCTTTTTGAAGCAGGTTCTCCCTGTAGCCCCAGCTGTCCTGGAACTCACTATGTAGACCAGGCTGGCCTTGAACTCACAGAGACCTGCCTGCCTCTGCCTCCCAAGTGCTGGGGCTACAGGCATGTTCCACAACGCCCCACTCACATCATCTATTTTTTATTAAAACTTTTATATTAATTCTGGACTGATAAATGTGTTTACCCCTGCATCTTGAGTTTGTCATTCTAGGAACTGCATGTTGACAGCCTAGCCTGGGAACTCTTCCCTTGCTTCCCTGGCCCCCTTTCAGCCTACAGTGCTGGTGATGCTAGCTGTATGGTCCTGCAAAGCTGAAGAGTTCTTTTTGGCTCCCTCCTTAAGGCTAAGGGGCTGGCTACCCCTTCTTTCTTTCATCACTGGCACTGTGGGACACAGGGATGGCAGCAATCTGTGCCTGTTTGTGCCTACAGTTTTCCCTCCTGGCCAGACTGCCTGGCCCAAGATGCCTATGGGTAACTAGGTTTTCCTTTTCTCCAGCAAGATGAGTTCCCCTTTCCTTCACAACTGATTGGTGGCCAGTTTCAGTTTATGAGAATGCCTTCAAGTCAGTCCAGCCCAACCAACCAGAAAGGTTTGGCTCCAGAGTAAAACTGGGTTTCACTTCCATAAGTCAGAAGGTCTATATTCTTGGGAGCCGACCCAGTTTACAGCATGCCTCAGCCAAGTCAACATATTGAAACTGTCTCCAACCTGAAACTTACGGAGGTCCGATATCCTAAAAAAATGTTTTCAGGGCCGTCATTACACTTCCCACAATGGGCCTCACCTCTGTTTCCTCTGACCTCCCTGGGATTTTTTTTAAGCTAACCTAAATTTGATCCTCAGACTCTCAAAACAAGAAAACATTATTTTCCTTTTTAATAAAAGTTGGCCTTTATACATATTCCCAGACCAAGAATGCCAGCCACCTAATGGTACATTAAGTTGTAAATGTATTCTTCAATTAGACCTGTTGTAATTCAGGAGGAAACTCAGATCCCGCGTATCCAAGTCATCACGGCCCTTTCACGGGACTCTCAACTGCAGGAGAGATGTCAAATGTGCCGCACTGCGTTTTCTTACACCCGCCCACCCTCCTAAACTCAGCTCCAGAGGACATCCTCCGGAATTTGCTTACACAAGTCTTGGCTCACCTGGCTTCTCTGCAGCCGCTAGTCAGGCTCCAGCCCTGCTCTGCACAACCATGTGATCCCGCTTTCCCCTCCCCACCCTCTTCTCAGCCTCTTTCTCCTTCCCCTTCCTCTTTCTCCCCCTTGAGTTATAGCCTACTGCTACACCCCCCTGCCCAGACACTCTTTCTCGTCACACTCTCTTGGGAACTTCCTATAGCGAATATGGAGAGCAATTTAGATTCTACTTGCTCCGTGGAAAACATTCTTCCCCTTTGCCAGGTGTCTAACAGGAATCTTGATACCTTCCCCATGTTCTCTTCCCTAGAAGAGTCACCTAGCCATGAATACCCCTGAACACACACATACACCCCTTCATTAGAGAGTTCCAGTGTTCACTGTGGCTTTTGGCCTAACCTGGTGGGATATCTGTATCATCCTGACTGCATGTTGGCTGCTTCAAGAAAAGTCCTGCATCTGGTCTTTAGTGCAGTAAGATAATTATTCGTTACAAAGGGAAACAGTAACTTCATAGTGGAAAAATGACGATGCCAATGTAATTAAGTTGCCCAAGTTAATAATACCACCAATAATGGGAGATAATTACATCATATGCCTTTTTCTTTTAAACACAGTTTTATGTAACTCAGGCTGCTCACTATGTAGCTGAGGATGACCTTCAATTTCTGGCCCTCCTGCCTTCACTTCCTGAATGCTAAGATAATACGTATAAACTCCCATCCTCAGTTTTTCATGTGCAACAAGGACTGAACCAAGGGCTTTGTACATGCTAGGCAAGCACTCTACCAACTGAGCCATATGTCTGGCCCATAATATGCCTCCAGTAAGAGGAATTTTAAAGGATACAATATTATCTTTCTGTTATTCTTACAAAATATGCATAAACTCAACCAAATGATTTTTAAATGCCAGGCATGGTGGCACATGCCTTTAATCCCAGCACTCGGGAGGCAGAGACACAAGGATTTCTGAGTTCAAGGCCAGCCTGGTGTACATAGCAAGTTCCAGGCCATCTGGGGCTATAGGGAGACCCTGTCTCAAAAAGACAAAAAAAAAAAAATAGACAAAGACAAATTGAAAAAAACCTCCGAAAAATATCTGACCAATACTGATCAACAAGGTCATGAAAAACAAGGAAAGAAAGAACCGTCACAGAGTAGATGAGATTAAGAAGATTAAGAAGACTGAGTGCAACAGTCAATCAATTAAAAGTGGAAGTAAAGTGGAAACACAGTGATTACAGTCACTGTGGCCTTGGTTGGGCATCACAAAGTGGTAAAGATCAGGGAATTAAGAAGCAACAAAGTCAGAGATGCTGAGGGGAACTCTGAAAGGCCTAACAATGCCAAACAAAAGATACTCAAGCTTTATTTTTCCCAGGTGAGAGGGGAGGTATAGAAGGGAATAAGCAGGGAAACATTCAGGTCAGGTGTACATGTTGGTGAGCCCACCCAGGCTTCTGTGTCCCAACATGAATTGTTTGATGTGAGATCAAGAGTAGGAAACATGGAAGAAAGTCTCCCGGATAACTCCCCACAATCTTCACCCTCGGACATTCATGCTGTCATGGAGCCCCTCCCACACTGCACAAAGATTCTAATTTCCAGTTTCACTTCAAGATAGGTAATAAGATCACATGATGAAAATGTGGCTTCTAGAGCATAAAAATTGTATATAATTTCCAGGAATGATCTTTGGATTTGCCCTTTCTCCTTCCTGCTACTTAAAATGTGCACTTGATGTTTGAAGCCCAAGTAGCCATTGCAGATGACAAGATGAAGTCCCACACTGTAGATGAGAACCAGACAGAAGAAAGTAGTGTCTCTAAATCCTAGAATCTCTAAATCCTTTAAATTTCATTTACATAAATAAAAAAGTCTTATCTTGTATGGGGCATTATTTTATTTGTGGAGGACAGAATTTCTACCATTGACAAAAAAACTAATAATTCTGTTAACGAACAGAAACTTAAAACACATATGCAGGCCAAAAAAGGCAAGCCATCAGTTTTAAGTGATGACGCAAAAAAAAAAAAAAAACGTGTCTATCAAGTTCAAAAGTAAATCAATAGCTTTAATGACAATACTTATGAATAACATGCTATAGCATGAGGTAAAACCACCTACCTCCCAGAGCTCAAAGGTAGGTATCTTTGCACAAATCTTATTGTCAGTAAATGGTCCCTGTCCATCTTCACATTTACTTAGATGATCCAGAGCATAAGCCATAGCATACACAGCTTGTTTGACATTGTTTGTGATTCTTAGCTGAGACACATCTAGGTAGGTGTTTTTAAGGTCTTCCAACTTCTCCTCTCCAGTACAGAGCTTATCTGACATGTCATATAGTCTGTCTTTTTTACCAGTCATATTCACTCTGTGGTCAACATTGTATGGAACACTACTATTAGGCCAAGTACAGTTAAAAGCAGTTTGCCAGAATTCAATGGTCAAGACATCATTTGGATCCTTGCTGGGATGTACATCATAAAGAAATTCTTTTAATCCTGGTATATCAGTTCTTGGTATTGCAAATCCAATACTTCCACCAAAATATGGAAAGTACTCAGGCTTTGCAATGAGAGCTGAGGTAATCCATGCTTCGCTCGCTATCCATGTCCTGTCAGTAATGTTATGATGAATCATTTCCAGCACAAAAGGGCTGAGGTCAATGTCAGATGAAAAAAGCACAATGACTTTGGCAGTGGACGTCTTTACTGCATCAACAGCCTTCTGCATTTTCTCATTGGAGTAGACTTTGGGAATGGTTTCAGAGAAAGCGACACAGAGGTTGGCACTCTCCATTTTTTCCCTAAAAGTTTTTACACCATATTTTCCATAATCATCATCAGCTGCAATAGCACCTACCCAGACCCATCCAAAGTGTTTTATAAGATTCACCATGGCCTCGGACTGGATCTTATCAGTAGGTACTATGCGAATAAAAGATGGAAACTGGAATTTGTCACTGAGAATTGAACAGGAAGATGTATAGCCCACCTACAATTGAAAACATTCAGTTATTAGAAATCAAGAGTCTACTCTTACATGACAGTTTCATAATATATTGAGAGGGAAGGAACTGAACACTTCTTCCTTTTTTCTTCCACCTTTCCATAAAAAAAGACTCTTCTGTTCCCCCTCAGTGGGTAAGGACTGTTGAAGGGACCACTTTGGTCTGCCTTATCAATCCAAGGGGGAGTAGAGCAGCCAATTATGTATGGATAACACTCAAGGCACTACTTCTCTTGAGGAGCACTGACAGTGAGGTCATCTGCTTTTCTTTACTCTCCCTGGGGACATGGTGACTCCCCTGAGTCACAACATCCAGACTCATCATCAGATTTGGCATCTGATACAAAAAGATGATGGAATGCGCCCACTCCCCATCCATCTGGTAGCCCCAGTTCCTCTTGCTTACATTCTCACTCCTCCCCGACCCCAACTAGTTTCATTCTTTTCTCTCCTTTTCATTGTCTTCGTTTCATTTGGCAAAGGTCTGAATTCTTATATCTGGGCAACATTTTTCTGAATAAGAAGAAAATCAGGGCTGAAGAGATGACTCAGTGTTTAAGAGCACTGGCTGCTCTTGCAGAGGACCCAGGTTCCATTCCCAGCACCCATATGGCAGCTAACAACTGACTGTAACTCCAGTTCCAGAGGATCTGATACCCTCTTCTTGCCCCCATAGGCATGGCACAAGAAATGTGCAATAAACAAGGCTTGGTGGCACATGCCTTTAATCCCAGCACACAGGAGGCAGAGGCAGGAAGAGCTCTTTGAATTCAAGGCCAGCTTGCTCTACATAGCATGCTTTCAGCCAGCTACAACTACATAATGAGACCCTGTTTCAGAAAGATAAAAACTAAAAATATAAAATATAATTTGTAAAGTTGGTATCCTAAAACTGTATTCATTTTGTGAAATTCCCAAGCCCATTTCAGTATCTCAGTATGACAATATGGGTCACAACAAATAAGCATTAACAGAGACCAAAACCAAAACCTGTGCCTTATTCCAGCTACTGATCAAAAAATATTTATGCATGACTTCCACTGTGCCTCACACAGTGCTGCAGAGTATGGTGACTAGTAAGATGTCAACATCCACATCAGTAGTGCAGGCATGTGCTCTTGGAGACAGAGCAATCTCATCTCCAAGTAGGCCTCGGACCTCTCTGTAGCTAAGCCCAGCCTCTCCTGAGCTCCTTGTCATTTGCAATAATTTCCACACAGCATTTTTATTTTTATACAATTACCCAACTCAATTTCTGAGCTACCTGAGGTAAATAATACAACCCTAGAATTCTTGAAGCAGCGACTGATAAGGACGATCCCCCTGATCCAACAATTCCTGCCAGAATTGATCCAGTGCTGTTTCTGAAATTGGGCTGGTATTCTTCCTGCCCTGTAAGGAACACCAAAGCTGACTCCACTGCTTTGGAGATGGTGTAACAGGAATCAAAGATCTGATAGCCCAGAGTGTGGTTTGGCAAGATATCCTTCCTCTCGTTAATCTCCTTGAGCGTGTGGATCATGGTTTTCATCCAGCGGAAACCCCGAAAGTTAAACCTGAAAAGGAGATAGCTTTCGTCAGGCAGTAGTCATTGGGAGGGTCTTTGGAGGAAAGGATATTTTAGTTGAAGTGAGTGATTACAGCATTTTGCTGAAGCATCAGCAGGCACCTCAACTAGTCTATACGTGTCAATTTTTCATAAATGGCATCACAGTCTTAGAAGACTCCAGTGAGTCATATTCACGATTGGTTAGTAATCTTGGGAAGTGAGTTTTGGGGATGTTCTTGCCCTATATATACTATCTTTTATATGCTATCATTTTTCTCATTGTCAATCATTTCTTTTGCATAAAAATATTCTTTTACTTATAGTTATCTTCACCAACAAACAAGATGCCCAACAATCCCTCAGGATGTGTTTTTCCCATTTAGTAGATGTCCCTGGAGCCATATGACTCCTTTTTCCTCCTTACTTTGACTTATTTTCTTCTGAACATTAATAATATAATGCACATAGATACATTTTAATGCATTTAATGCACTTAGGATCTATAGTTATGTGTAATATGATTCCAATAGTATAATTTTTTCTTTTTAATGTTGAGAGATGTTTAACCAAAGTTTTCTTTTACAGCTCTTGCACATGAACATAAACGTGATGCCTCCTCCTTCTAATTCTCTATACATTATAACAGATATTGCAGTCCATTGACACTTTTTTTCACTTCCTTCTATGTTTAGCAAATAACTTTTCTATTTTCTTATTTTTTCCTCTAGTTTTAACCATATTTTAACTTACTGAAAGCAAGTACCCCAGCATGACTTTTTATGTCAAAATCCTCTGTAGATATTTAACTCCTACGTCTTCTGCTCAATAAATATTTATTTAGTTAAATACACAGCAACAATGGTCCTTTGGGGAGATTGGAATTCTCTTCCATGGCACTTTAACTGAGTTTTGGGTTTAGTTTTGTTTTTCATGTAGTATGTAGTTATCGATTTTTCTCTAGACACTACAAACACAACAGTAAACAAAAAAAAAAAAAAAGCACAGCACTTTCTAGGTATGAAACAGAAAAACAGCCAAGCGGTTACAACACAAAATGGTAAAAAGCAGAAGTCTGAGTAGATTTGGGAGTAATGAAATTCAAAGGGGTGCCCAGTCACGGAGGAACCAACAGCCATGCTGACTTGAAGGACAGAGGTACAGAGGGGACTGTATGCAGAAGGACAGAACAGCACATATAAAGGCACTACAATAAAGAATGAGCAACAAAGACTGGAAAGATAAGCATGTTTGGAGGAGAGATACCAGAGTGAGACAATACAGTAAAAGAGAAAACTAGATGACAGAAGACACCAGAATACAAAATGCCTTGTCATCCTAAGTTAGTTTCCAAATTAACACCGGTGGCATTATAAATTTTCAACATAAATAGAGCAATAACTTTTTTTAAGTAAGATAGTTCATTTCAAAAGCTACAAAAAAATACCTGTTTTTAATTAGTAATTACACCCTTTAGAAGTTAGCTGGAAAAAAGTAAAACAAAACCATTCTTCTCATAGGAAATAAGATATCAACTCCAAAGTATATTACAGAATTATTTATAGTATTGAAAAAATGAAACAAGCTCATACGTTTAGTGATAGCTCATCAGTTGCATGAAAGTAATTTTCCATTATTAAAAAATTATCATGGGGCTGGAGAGATGGCTCAGTAGTTAACAGCACTGGATGCTCTTTCAGAGGACCAGGGTTTGAGTCCCAGCAACAACATGGCAGCTAACAATTGTCCTAACTTACCCTTTGCATCCCTGGGCAGCACAGCCACCAGCTTCCTGGGGCCAGCATCTTTCCTGGGTAAGTTAGGCAACACCCACTGCGCTTTGACTCCCCCAGCCTCATTCACCCACGCAGCTCCCCCAACGCATCTATCCTCCTAGCCTGAACACAGGCCCATTTCTTGTCCAGCAACCCAGACCTCTGGACTGACCTCTCAGCCCAGACTCCCCATTGCTTCCTGATCCTTCACATCCAGACCAACCCAATGTGTCCCTCTAGTCTCCTGGAGCTCTTGGGGCCTGTTGCCACCTCCAGCTCCCTTGCATCCTTGGGCAGCACATCCACCAGGTTCCTGGAACCAGCATCTTTCCTGGGCCCTGGTCCAAGGCCAGCCCAGCCGTCAAATTCCTGAAGCCAGCATCTTTCCTGGAGGGATCCAGACCTTAGGAGAAAGCCGGAGAGCATCTGATCCCCATCCAACTTGGGCCTCTGTGGGAACTCTTAAGCAGCAAGACAAAAGCAATTCAGCACCTCCAATATAAAATCAAAAGAGAGCACCTGAAGCCTAGACCAACCAGCTTTTCATGCCCAAAAAATAAACCACAAAGGCACATAAAGCATACAAAAAGAAGCAGACCTAAACTCAATAAAGGAAGGCTTGAGTCTCACGCAAGAATCAGAAACTACAAAAGAAATCCACATATCAAAGTCACAGAGAAAAAATAACATGAAAAACCCAATTAATATATCATCACCAAGTACCAACAGTCCTGTAGAGGAGTACAGTGAGAACCCCCTAGAGATAACACAGGACATGGAATTCAAAAGAACAGTTATAAATATGATAAAAGAATTCAGTGAATTTAAAGAACACACAGAGAAATCAAAGACCTGAAAGGAGATAGGGATAAACTTCTGAATGAATTCAGAAAAGAGAAATATTGAGGGATACTCAGGCTGAAATAAAGAAGGAAGTGAAACACTCAGTAAGCCAATTAGAAATGACAGGAGAAAGCCTCACCAATAGGATGACTGAAATGGAAAACAGAGTATCAAGACTGGAAGATAAAGTGGACAAATTAGATCACTCAAGCAAAGATTACGAACTATTTAAGAAAAAACAAGAATGGAATATGCAGGAATTGTGTGACACCATAAAAAGACCAAACTTATGCATCATAGGCATACAGGAAGGAGAAGAATCTCAGGACAATGGTATAGACCAGATCTTCAAAGGATTGTAGAAGAAAATTTCCCAAAATTAAAGAAACACATGCCCATACGAATACAAGAAGCATATAGAACACCAAATAGGACCAGAAAAGAAACTCTCCACAGCATATCATAGCAAAAACACTAAACATACAGAACCAAGAGAGAACCAAGCAGCAAAAGAAAAAAAAAGTCACATACAAAGGAAAACCCATCAAGATTAAAGCTGCTTTTCAGTGCAAACTATGAAAGCCAGGATAGCCTGAACCAAAGTATTCCCAGTGTTAAATGACCACAGATGCCAACCCAGATTACTATACCCAAACAAAACGTCTATTATAGTCGAAGTGGAAAGAAAAATCTTCCATGACATAAATAGGCTGAAAGAATTCATGTCCACAAAACCAGCCCTTCAGAGAGTTCTTGAAGCAATACAAAGAGCTGAAGAAAGGAATGACTATACCCAAGGGGTTAGAGAAAGAAACTAAATGAAGGTATAACTATGGAAAAGCACAGCTACACCAAGAATGTGAACAGAAATAAGAATGAAAGGAATCAATACACATCTTTCATTAATAACTTTAATTATCAATGCACTGACCTCCCTAGTCAAAAGACATAGACTAGTTGAATGGATTAAGAAACAAAACCCATCTTTTTGTTGTCTGTACAAAACACATCTCACTACCTTAAGGTGAAAGGATGGGAAAAAATATACCAAGCAAAGGGTACTAAGAAAATAGCAAGCATTGCAAGCCTAATAGCTGACAAAACAGATTTCAAACTAAAACTAATCAGAAGAGATAAAGAGGGCCACTTCATTCTGATCAAAGGAACCAAGAAAATATTACAGTCATGAACATATATTCACCAAACTCTGGTGCACCCAACTTCATAAAAACTAATACAAGGGGCTGGAGAGATGGCTCAGTGGGTAAGAGCACTGACTGCTCTTGCAAAGGATCCGGGTTTGATTGCCAGCACCCACATGGCGGCTACAAACTGTCCTTAACTCCAGTTCAAGGGGAATCCGAAACCCCCTCCTGATCTCCACGGCATTGCATGACATGGGCGCACTCACATACATGCAGGCAATACACTCGTACACGTAAAATAAAAATAATAAATAAAATAAACAGTAATACAAAACCTCCTGACTAAAAAAAAAGCCCAAAATCAGATGGATTTACAGCAGAATTCTACCAGACATTTAAAGAAGATCTATATCTAAGACTACATAATTTATTCAAAAAAGATAGAAATAGAGGGAGAACATCCAAATTCCTTTTATGAAGCCAGCATCACTCTAATACCAAAGCCAGGTAAAGATACAACCAACAAAAAGAAAACTATAGACCCATATCCTTAATGAACATAGATGCAAAAATTCTCAACAAGATACTTGCAAACCACATACAGACACACATCAAAAAGATCATCCACCATGATCAAGTCGGCTTTATTCCAGAGATGCAGGGATGGTTCAATATATGTAAGTCAATAAATGCCATAAATCATATAAATGGACTCAAAGACAAGAACCACATGGTATCCTACCAAAAGTAATAAATAGATTCAATGCAATCCAAATCAAAATCCCAATGACATACCTCACAGAATTAGAAAAATCCATCCTTAAATTTATATAAAGGCACAAAAGACCCTGGATAGCCAAATCAACCCTGAGCACAAAGAGCAACGCTGAGGGAATTACTATACCAGATCTCAAATTATACTACAGAGCCATAGTCATAAAAACAACATGGTACTGGCACAAAAACAGATACATAGATCAATGGAACATCACTGAAGACCCAAATCTGAGTACATGCAATTTCAGCCACCTGATATTTGACAAAGGTGCCAAGAACACACAATGGAGGAAAGACAGCATCTTCAACAAATGACACTGGCAAAACTGGATCTCCACTTACAGAAGAATGTAACTAGATCTTTATCTTTCACCTTGCACAAAAGTCAACTCCAAATGGATCAAAGACCTCAATGTGAAACTGGAAACCCTGAAACTATTACAAGAAAATATTGATAGTAACTTACAAGA